CTGCCATTCTCTCCTTTTTTTTACGTACACCTCTTAACATTTTAAAGCTGTAAGAAAAGCAGAAAGTAAGCTTTCAGAAGAATCTTTCAAAATACTCTAAAATTATGTGAAATTCTTCAAGAAACCTATTGCGAATAAAGTTTGATTTGCTTACTCTTTTTTGTATATCAGTTTTAGAAAATTAGAAGATAATGAAAGCAATAAACCTGGTAGAACAATAAAAAGCAGTAAGAAAATTCAACAATTTTTGCAAATGAATTTTACCTTTTGGTCTTCGTCTGGGTTGTTGTTTTTGACGATGCTTTTGATCAAAACCTTTGCCTTTTCTAAGCAGCCTAGACTGCACTTAAAGAATGACCGAGTAACCTAAACAAAATGACTGAACTGTTTTCAGTTTCCCGTCAGTGCACACTTTTCTCACAGCCTCAAACTTCTGAGCATTTTTAGCAGTATTTTAAACAAGGTATTAAATTTTTTGACAATTTTGTTGAGGTGTAATTTTCAATGCTCTATGCCAGTCACATTTTTTCTGACAAACAATTTTTTTTAAATTGTAAAATATATCTTTTTACTAAAAGATATAAAAAATTTCTTAATTGTTTTTTTGTTGTAGTTTCTTCTCACTCTTATTTTCATATTTTTTATAAAGCAGTATTCCAAGACTGTTTTTTTTTGCTTAATACTTATTCATTAATTTCTTACAGCTATTTTGACTTTTTTCTTTTTCTACATCCATCTCTTAATATTTTAAAAGCTTCAAAAAAGAAGAGAGTAAACTTTTAAGAAAATGTTTTAAAACACTAATAAAATTCTATAAAATTTACCAAGAAACCTGTTGCGAATAGAGACTCTTTTATCTGTTTTTCTTGTATTTTAGTTTTACAAACCGAGAAGATAAGAAAAGCAATTAATTTGGCAGAACAATAAAAAACAAGAAATCTAACGTTCCTCAAAAATAAAATTCACCTCCTCATTTGTTCCTGCATCAAGTTTAGCTTGATTCTCGACCAAAGGTATTTCGAATTGTTGGTGGTCTATATTACACGCGATATGTAACGGAGTAAACTAAACAAAACGACTGAATCCTTTTCAGTGTTTTCATCATTTTACAGATTTCTCACAGTCTTAAACTTTTGAGCACTGTTGGTAAAAATTAGTTCAAGCGTCAAATTTTAATACCTTCAAGTAGTATCAGAACTACTGTTTTTACGAAGAACATTGAACAAAGAATAACGAAACAAAAAATTATTTCTCCAAACTCGCTCGACAGTAACATTCTAAAAACCATTATCGAACAATCAGCTCGCATTTCATCGTATTAAAGTTTTTTTGTCAATGCCTAATTTCTAATGTCTTTTTGACTTTCCTCTCCTAAACATTTAGTCCTGAATTCCCTTTTACCCCCTTTTTGAATAATTATCAAGTTTTCTTCACATCGCAAAACTTTATAATTCCAGGAAGGTTGATAATTTTTTGATTTTTCGCATTTGCAAATGACGCAACAGAGATTTACTAAATAAGCAGACACAAAAATAGTGAACGTGTGACTCTGAGTCAGCTAAATCAGATACCCTCTTCCGAAACTACTTAAAGTTTAGCTGACCAGTTGTACCCTTCAAAACTTTAAAGTTGCTCGTATTTGGCGAAATAAATTTAAAGTTCTTTTTCTCTGTCAACTTTCTTACTGCTCCTTTCTCTGTCTAAAAATTTCACTTACAGCATATCTTTTTATTGCTGTTCTCTGTTCTCCACTTCTAATCATCTCATTATCTTATTACTGTTGTTCTTGTTCTCTACTTTTTCTACAACTTTTTATATTCTCAAGCTTTCAAGAATAATACTTGATCAATTATTGAAAAAGGGTCTTTAAATGCTTTGAAAAGAAAGATACCCGCCTTTCCCTAATGAAGAATATGCTCGTTTAGACTGGTAACCTCACTTTTTTCCTCCGCCCAGGCGGGGAAAGTTTTCAAAGAAACCCCGGCTACCGAGGGGGAGATGGAACCACCAGTCCAAGCAAGGTGCAGGTGAATAGAACCCTGAATGAGCTAGCAGCAGTCAAGCAACATGCAGTTGGTTTTTTTGCCAATATGCAGTATGACTAGGCCAAATTGCCTAAACAATTCCTTTTATGAGTATGATGCTTTAAATGTCAACGGGGTTGTGCGGGAAGCTTCAGCGGCTCAAAATGAGAAGGTATGTCTCACCCTTGTCAGTGAGTCAGGCATACTGTATATTGCATCCACTTACTGTTCAAAAAAAAAACGGGCTTCTGAATGGCATCATCCCCTTCAGCCAATCAGCATGATGGCCAGCAGTCTATATGACAGCCATGAAAAAACAGCTTTTAAGAGAGGCAAAAGGTCTACACATCAAATTTTGCAAATACGTTGAACGAATTAGTAAAGAACATCGCAAAATTAGAAAAAAAAA